ATTAGCTCTGCAGTGTTAGTTTTTTAACACACTTAACAGTTGTACGAGCGTGGAAATATGTGTGCTTGCAGCAGAGTTTAAAAGTCACTACACAGAATATTGCCTTTCATAGGTGCCATATTGTGCCAAAATAGGTGCTCCTTTCCCGTAAGAAGAGCAGGCAGCCTGTCCCTAAGGAGGAAAGGGATTTCTGCAGCCCTAGCTTCTGTCAGCAGTCAGTGCTTGCAGGGCTGCTCACCACACCTAGGGCTCCCGGTGCCAAGGTGTCAGGCATCTCCAGGTGATTTCTTCTCACTTCTGCTCTCTGCATTTATTTCTGCTGAAGCACAGATCCACAACTCTCCTGAGAAGAGCCTTTAGCAGTGGGTGTTTTTCCCCTAAAGTGCGTTTATATTTTTGATACAATATTTTTGGCCTTAAACTGCATTTTAAACTTCTTTGAGATTCAGAGCACTTTGCATATAGCTCATGGGAATCTCTGCAATGCACTTTATCAGCTGGCAGTCGAAATTGTGAACAGCTTTTCTGGTGGATCATATTTCTTTGATCCTGTGATTTGGGACTTTAACCATAGGATAAACTATCTCTTCACTGGTAGAAAAACTCAGTGGCAGAAAACCAAACTGCCATAAAGGGAGCTGATGTGTAGGTGTTTGAAGCGTGGTGTTGGAGCCAAGGAAGTATAGATGCATTCCAAGGCTTACTAAGGCAAAAAGGCCATATTACTGCTTTGTCCTGGTTTGATGTGCAGTGATCTGTACCAGAACAGTTTGTGTTCAAAGAGTGTCGTTTTACATGTCAGCAAACCTGGAGCTGAGAAGTGACATTGAAGCAGGACCATGCCTTGTTGTGATTCCACAGGTTGTGACCATGGGACTTTGTGCCCTTTCCAGTAAAAGCAGAGCCTTGGCACAGGATTTCAGTGCTTCTATGGCCTCTGCTCAGCAGGCAGCTCCAGCACACCAGGACAGTGTTCAAAATCTGTTGCATATGTTGATTTTTTAGGGTTTTTTTTAATAGATGGGAGTACATAAATATCCCAGGTTTTCCTGCTTTATATTCTAGCAGCACACAAAACGGGGAGCTGAAAATCAAGCAAAATGCACTTTGCTGTGAAAGCCCCACTTGACTCTGGAGCACAGGCACCTCGGTGTGTTTGAGCAGAACATACTTAATACCAGGCTGTAGGCACATAAGGCAAGGTTCAGGCTTGGAATAACATACCAGGAAAGTGGCATCGACCTGACATCCTAGTTTGGACAGGGATCACATCATGCCAGAATTTCTCTTGCTCGGCATCTGTGCTTTATGAAGTACCAGAACCGTGTGGTTTTCCCTAGATACAGTGATTATAGAACAGTCAGACTCCGTTTGTACCTGTGCTGGTAGCTGGCCATGGGAAACTCTTTGCCCAGTTCACTCCCCAGAGGATCCCTGTCAGAGCATGGACACCTGTTTGCAAGGACTGGACTGTCAGAACCCAGGTCTGTTGGAGAGCACTGGGCCTTTCCCTTGATGGCAGTTACACCCTACCAGTGCCAGTGTGGGAATCCACCAGTGCACAGTCCCACAGGAATCCATCTCTGCTGTGCTGGGGGTAACTGTGCCTGTGTTTCCCTCTAGGAGGACTTTCGGAATAAAGTTGAAGATTACATTAAGCGCTACGCGAGATGATGAAGGGAGAAGGATGGCAGGACCATGGCTTCCACACTAGAGTTGTCCTTAACTTCAACAACAACAATAAACCAGCCCGGATTGTACCAGTCCTGTGTCCATGTTGTACTGAAGAAGAAAACTAACTTCATAACCTGTCCATGTTCAAAGGAGAGTTCAGCATAAATACAGCAAGAAATTGTGTCTGTTGGTTGAAAAAGTTGTTTGCTTCCTTTTAAAAAATGTTTACTCTTCTGAACTGTACTGTATATCCTGTTGATGAGATATGCTTGAGAAGTTAAAGAAATCACTATTGAAATTGTAATTACACTTTTTTTTTAACTCTTGCCTAGTCTGGAGGGGGGAAGGAAAACAAACCCAAACAGAAAAGGTGGCGTGTTTTTGGAACACTCGGAGTTGGCAATAAATGGTCTCCTGTGAACCAAATCACAAAACTGTTGCCTTCGATGAGCAGAAACAATATGAGCTTTTCCCAAGAGTCACTCAGCTGAGGCTTAGAGCTTGCCAGAATGCAAGTGCAAAATGAGATTCTACTTCTGGTATTGAAATTCTCAATGCTATTTAATGTAAGTATGTTTTTGTCACAGTTTGGAATTTTTACATTATTAATTTCAGCCCCTGTTTGGGCTACAGTATTTTTTTTTTGTTTCTATTCATTGTGTGAAGTAGTTAAAAGAAATACAGGCTAATGGGTAACTTAAGTAAATGTTTAGTATTAGTAAAAATTACATATATATTATATATTTCTGTGAAAATTTAATGGGAGATTTTTTTTTTTAAGAAATCTGCCTTGGGCTTTCTGATCTGGATGTGGTGAGGGAGCATGAGATGCTGTTTGATCTGACAACAGTAAATTCAGGCACCATTACCTGGAGAACACCTAATTGTGTTCTCCAAATTCCTGCACTGGAAGGGAATGATGGAGCTGGGACCCATAATACACCACACCCCATCCATGCAAGCTCGGCTTTCTCAGTGAGTGGAAAGGATGCTGATGCTGTAATTGCCTTTTCTGTGAGGAGCTGTGTGGCAGACACAGTGTGTGTGAGCAGGGAGCCTGCAGGAGAGAGTAGCATGTACCTCAGGAATCACTTCAGCCTGTGTGCCAGAGCTCCCTGGGCATCGTCCAGGATTGGGATCACACAGAGGGAGGTGATGGAACCGATTCGAGCTTTTATAAACCATAGAAATAAATGTTTGTGTGGTTTTCTACAGAGCAGGTGTGTGTGTGACACTTGGGCATCGACTGTTGGGTTTTTTACCCCCGTTCATTCTTTCCTGCTGTTTGTCTGCAGACGCTGACATAAATCAAAATAATCTCCATTGTGAGAGATGGTGGCAGAGCTGGGGTGCAAACTGTAAGCGCAGTACAACTTTGCATGTTTTAAGTTTTCCCTGTGCCTTTTCCCTTAGAGCTTCACAGGCTCCTGTAGCTGTTACTGGAGGTCTGGGAAAGCAGGGAGATGAAATGCAGGGATTGGGATGCAGGAGGAGAGCTTTGCCTGAGAATAACAGTGCCACTGGGTCTGTTCACAGTGAAACATGGATCAGGCTATTATTTTAAGCAGGCAACTGCAGTGAGAGATCTTTGCTGCCCAAACAGAAATGTGAGGGAAGGTAAGAAGTAAAACACTCACAAAAATAGAAAGTTTGGGAAATACATCCAGAAATACATCATAAGGATTCTCTTGTTTTTGAGCTGAAAACTCTGAACCAGTTTGCTGTAATGAAGATGAGTAATCCTTGCTGTAGTGGCACCCTGGTAGTGTTATCACCTTCCATCTTTCAGGAAAAGGGGTCAAACTCCTCATTTCTTGAGCTGTCATCCATGCCTGGCTCCCAACTTGTCCCGGGAAGCCGCTGCAGATGCACCAGGGCAGAGCAATGCCAGGGTGCTGCTCCAGGGAGCCAGGAAGGCTGTGCCAGGGTAGGCAGCATGTTTGGGGTACCAGAGAATAGAGCTAGAGCTGCAGCTCTCAAAGCCCCTCCCCATCTCCAGAACAATCCTGCTGTTAAACTCCTTCCCTGTGTTTTTGCTTGCCTGGAGGAGATGAGCAGAATAATAAAGTTTGGATACTGTTAAATACTTTATTAAGAGTAGGTGTTTTGTGCAATGTGCCTTCTAGCCTGTCTTTCTAGTGGTCCTACACTTAGAATCTTTTCTTTGAAGGGATGTTAAGAGTCCTCCTTTCTCTGAGCAGGAAGGCCTGAGCATTGGATTGTGCCCATACAGGATGCACAAGGCCAGCAAAATGTTACAACTCATCCTCATCCTACAAGAGCCCATCACCTCACCATCCAGGAAAATAAACTGAATTAATTTTTCCTGAACACAAGGAGCTGGGGCGGTTATATATTTATAAATATATGTGTATTTATATGTATTTCTGTGTATATTGGTAGAATCATAGACTGGTTTGGGTTAGAAGGCTGGGTGGGTTAGGCAGAGGGCTGTGTTTCCTACTGCCTGGCTTGTCCATTTGGGAGGTCTTTTTGGGAAATGTGAGAGTCTGGTAAATAGCAGTTGGGTCTCCCCAGGGAGCCCTGAGCCAGCAAGGTACTGAAGGGGTCTGGAGTGGTCTAGACCTGTCGGGGATGGCGGAGACCAGTGGTAGGGTTGGGGGTCCCATCCCCTCCCAGGTGCTGCCCAGTCTCCCACTAAGATATGTGACCCCACTGCTGGATGCTGCTAAAGGGGTGGACCCCTGACCTGCCCACCCACTCCCAGGAACCCCCCTCTAGGGATCCCCAGGAGCCCTGCTGGCTCAGGGGCAGCCCTTCCATCTCCCTCCCTGGGACCCCCAGTGCTACTCAGTGCCCATGGGGTGGGGATCAACACTTGGGCTGGTCTCTGGGCATTAAGGGGGGCCTTTGACTTCAGCCTTCATGGAAGGGGTGAGAGCTGAGGACTTGCACCAGAGACAGGCACCTGGTTTATGTAGGTATTTATTTATTTAGATAGGAAAAGCACCTTATTCCCATTCCGCATTAGCCCCCCGGTGCATTGCCACGGTCACCACCCGTGCCACCAGCTCCCAGCACCAACTTTCACCCACTGCTGCCGGTCATCCAGGCAAAACCCACCCTGTGCAGGCCTTGTCCTTGGGCTGGGGGCTGGGGGAAAAGATGCCTTTCCAAGTGTGCTGAACAAAAAAAAAAAGGGACAAAAAGAGGAAGCCGTGGAGGTTTCTCTGCGCCCAGACCTGCCAGCCTCGCGGTTACACGTCGATGCTGCGCCAGCACTGCGGGAACAGTGGGATTTCAACTCCCCACACCCCCTTTCCTATGGTGGGATTTCAACTCCCCACACCCCCTTTCCTTGTACATTTTTTTTTCCCTTTAAAAATTCTCCTCTCTTGGCACACGATGCTGGGGGTTGCCAGGGAAGCAGTTGGAAAAGGCAGAGCAGAGCAGTGCTGATGCCTGGGGTGAGTGGTGCTCCCCGGTATCCCAGGAGGACTTCCTGGGCAGTGCATGACAGCCTCACTGGCCCCCAGAATCCCATTTTGCCCAACAACCCTGTCTTAAATGATGCATTCACTGGGAAACCGATGGGGGTGTGGCACAGAGGGTACTGGTGAAGAGGAGCAGCGGCGATGCTGTCTCTGCTTCCAGTGCTTGGTGCCCTCCATGATGCTCCTCTGCCAGAGTCTTCCCAAAAACCAGGCACGTGGCAGGGGAGATCCCCCCGTCCCTCCCCTGGGCTGGCCGCGGGGCGTTCCCTACACGATGCCCTCGCTGCGTTTGCTCCTCCACACCACCAGCGCGGTCATGAGCAGGGTGACGAGCACGGGCAGCAGGATGAAGGGGCACAGGACGGCGTTGGGGGGGTCGTGCAGCGCCCGCCCGGACGGGGAGCAGTTCCTGAAGTACTGTCTGTGCACGGCCACGAAGAACTCGTCCACCTGCCGGTTGGGCCAGTAGCAGTCGAGCCTCTCGGCGATCAGCACCGTGCAGTTGGTCAGCTCCCCGTACGTGCTGCAACACAGGCAAGGGCATGGGGGCGGTCACCGGGGACCAGCACCCGGACACAGGCACACCACCTCCCCCCACACAGCAAAAAATATTGTATACATCATATCCAATATTATATTACATTAAATATATCATTTTTAGATAGTATATAGTGCATCATATAATACTATTATATATATTATCTATTATATAATGTTTATATTATTATATAATAATCATCTTATTAATATTCAATAACATATTATTGTGTTATAATATACATAACATATAATATTCATATTATAGTTATATTTTATTTATATTATATATTATATAACATATATGCTATTATACGTTATATATTATATGCTATATATATGTTATATAATAAAATATGATTGTAATAATTACATATATAGACAATATATTTCATTATTTACATTACATATAATGTATAATATAAAATCTATACAATACATAATATACACTATATAATTTGTATATAAAATACGTAATAAAAAGTATATGCTATTTAATTTATAGTATGTAACATGTAAAAGCCATATAATATATCCCTCCTCGTGCAATATATTATATACTTTCTATCACAAAGATGTGTACTTGCTATTTGAGATTGTATTTGAGTTGTTACTTATTAAATTTTTTAGCAATTTTTTGGAGGTTGTAGCTAGATAAATATATCTGGCCCTACAAAAATATGTAGGTCTTTTTTTAATATATAACCTGTATAAAACTATATGAGGGGTTTGATTTTTTTAGCTAGAGGGGTATAAAGATATATGGGGGGTTTTTTTACATTCCAGTCAGGTTTTGCCACTTTGATGGCACTTCTGACTGCTCACCTACAGCCAAAAGCAGAAGTGGTTTTAAGAAGGACATGAAAACAGAAATAATATTTACAGAAATAACAGGTTTGAGGTGTTTTTGTTTGGTTTGTGGTAATTTTTATGGGATTTCATGGCTGAATCAGTGCTATTAGAAAATACAGGATGGACCTAGGTTTTAAGCAAAGACCTTCAGGAAACCCATGCCAGCTTGTCTGGCTGCCAGCCTTTGGAGCACCATCCTCCAGCTTGTGTGGATTCATCCACAGGGAGACAGAAGTAAGTACATCAAATCTACTTAAAATTCTCCTTTTAATTGCCTAAAAATTAGGAGATTGCATAGGAATCAGCTGCCTGCTTTGAAGCTGTGCAGGACCACAACCCATCCCACCTCTATGGCCAGCAAGTCCATTTTTCCTTTTTTTTTTTTTTCTTTTAAACATTTGGAAAACCAGGAGCAGCCCTGAGCCAGGGGCACTGTCCCTGTGCTGGGCCATCCAGCCATCCTCCGGAAGGACAGGTATTACAGTGCATTTCAAACCCTCCCTGCTTTAAAACTGGCTATGCATAAAAATACTTAATTTTTTTCCCCCATCCCAATTAGTCACATCTAATCCGAGAGAAGCCAGGCAAACCAAACCCCAGCTCACCAATTAAAAACCCGCCTGGGGGAAGAAATATTTTATAAGCAGCTTCCCAGCCAGTCTCCACAGCTGCTGTGCAGCTCCTCAGCCCAGTTTTGGGGCAGGCTGTGCCAACGGGCACACGGCAACACCACTGGGAGCCCCTGCTAAGCCCGGTGATTTAATTGATGGGGTGCCTGCAGCTGCTAAAAGCAGATTCTGCTCAGCATCCCAATGTGCAAAATTACCATTTCCTGTTCATCAGCATCCTTAGGAGATCTCGGGAGCCGAAGCATCTTCAGGAACCAGAGGGACAGTGTTAACAGAGAGGCGAATAAAAGCTATTTTTAAAGCTGAAGGGCCATACAGCAGCTGGCTGAGCCCTTCCCTGGCTCCGACCGTGCTTCCGTGGAGATAAATAGCTGCACCCATCATTAGACGTGAAGATATACAAGGAACCAAAGCCAAATGGTGCCAGCAATGAAAGGACAAATTGTAATTGCCATTTGCACGGAGGCAGCAGCCGAATTGCAGCGCTCGGCCGGCTCCGTACACGAGGATGGAGCTGAGGAGAAGAGCTGAGCAGCTCCAGCCCCACGAGCAGTGCTGGGAGGGGGCTGTGAGGCTACGAGCACCTGTCCTGGAGTGGAAGGAAGTCCCCCCATCCCGATGGGGTGCCTTATGGTACCCTACGTCTTTTGTCCCTTTCATTTTTGCTTAGTTAAAGCCCCCCTGCTCTGGAGGGGATGGCATCCCCAGCACCATAGAGGGATCCCAAAGGGATCCATTTGCTGGGATCGGATAAACCAGACCGGCTGGATCCAGGCTGCTTGCAATGCCCTGTCAGACAGGATCAAGATCCCACCGGGGAGCAGCAGTGTTGATGCCCAGGGCTGAGTGTGCCATGGCAAACATTCATCCCATTGCATCTCCAAATCGGCATCTGGTTCTCTCTCCCCACGAGCAGAGCCACGTTATTGCGTTAGCACCATGCCAGCATCATCCCATCGGGAATTCATCCCGGGCTGACTGTGAAATATCTTGTTTTCCTGCTCAGTTCTGCCCTCCCTCCCCTTGCCACAATCCAGCCGAGGAGAGTGAGGTCCCCTGCCATACCAGGCAAAGCTGAGCTGAGCTCCAGGAGCTGCAAGGATGATCATGGTATTCCTGGTGTCCAGAGAGAGTTGTAACCCTCATTCACAGAGTTAAAACTCTCTTTGGAGAGAGAAAGTTGTAGCAGGATGCTCTGCCTAAGTGGGGGTAAAGCAGCTTGAACTGTATCCCATTTGCAAAAGTTACCAGGGATGGATGGAGAAGGGCGAGGGGGAGGGAGATTCACGATTTACCCACGGCCATTGCTCTGGGTAACATCAATCTCTACTTAATAATTATTTTGCTTGCTTTAATAGCATTGCTTCAAAATTGCTTCAGTAAATAGGGCACCGTATTCATAGTTATAATTATCTGTACTGTGTAAGAGTAAGGTCTTTTAATCTAATAGTTACCATAATTAATAAAATAAATCATTTATTCATAAAATATACTTGGTTTGCCAAGACAAAGTCACACATTCAATTCCACATATATAATCCTTTAAACATAAACTGCTGCCAAAGTCTGGGGCTAAGACTGGATCCAGCCACACCCTGACTCCTTTTCATTCCATTAGCCAAACTTCTGACAGCATCCACATACAGAGTTCAAAAAGTGAACCCAAGAAGTGAATAAAATGTCAGGTTTGATATATTTAAAAAGAAAAGCTGCATTTCTTTTTAAGCCAGTTGACAGTAAACGCCCACAATATAAACCAGCAGCACAGCTAAATGCATGGAACTGATACAGTAACGGGGCTGCTTCACACCCATCTGGGATGGACACCAGTGCCCGATGCGCGGGACTGCACTGCATTTACTCCTTGTGTGCGTGCACAGGTACAAGGGTTTGGGAAGAAATTCATTGCATCGTGACCCTCCGTGTTTGTTACAATAAATAAAACACTGTTCTGGTGTCACCTTGGGGGGTTCACACCTTGCGGTGCCTCTGTCGAGGCGTCCCGGGGCCGCTGGGGGGGTGGGGGAAAATCCGGACTGGATTTCCTCTGGAAAACAGAATGGGGGAAAACACGGATGGAATTTTTCCAGAGTATGGAATGGATTAAAAAAAAAAAAAAAAAAGAAGGGTTGGACTTGATGATTTCAGAGGTCCTTTCCAACCCGGCTGATTCTATGACTTGCCTGTCTATCTGTCTAACCTCTTCCAGCTGGAAAAACCCAACTGCTATTAAAGTTGACAAAAGACAATGATATTATTAATGAAAGCAGCTACACCATGTTAGACTGTTCATTACAGGCTCCTAGCCAACTCCAATTAATTGCATGGCTGCTATGCCTAAAAAGACTGCCCACAGAATGAAGGCTTGGGGGCTGGGGGGAAGTAGGTATTTTTAACTTTTTGCTGTGAGGTGCTCAATCCATCATTTTCCTCCTCAGTTGTAAATAAAATATTGCTTAAGAAAATCCCCCTTTAGATTAGCTGTGTGTTTTCTTCTAAGCACAACCTACATTAAATTACACATCTGTATTTGCCTTTTCAGACAGCTTCTGATACAATGAAGGTTTATATCCTGTCTTCAACAATACTGTGTTTGGTTAACAGATTTAATTTTTATACAAAGCATTTCTGAACAGAACACAGAAATAGCAATGCCATCACAACTCTTCTTAGGTGCTTAGGTACCCTTCTCCTGCCCTGCTGATTCCAGGTTGCTCTCCCTCCTACCCTCAAACCTGCAGAACCAGCCTGGGCAGTTGAGTTAAATGTCTCCAAGGACTCTCAAGGAATTGACTCCCTCCTGGCTTTCTGACCACTTTCTCTTCATCTGAAACTGCAACGACCTCCCAGCAGTAGAGCTAAATGAGAGCTGTGCTTGACTGAGCTGTTCCTAAACTACTAATAATTCCTACTTTAAGTCCTCTTTCTCACCCAGGATATCCCCCTATGAATGCTTTCCATACACTGAGCTTTGTGCTTCCTATGAACATCTACATTTGCAATTCATACAGGCATGTAAATGGAATGAATTGTTGCACTTCATCAGAGACTCTTCATTACTGACACATCCAAACACAACTGCACTTTGAAACTCCTGGTCTTCTGTCCCAGCTTTGAGATTTAGCAACAGATCCCCAAGAGAAACCACAGCTTTGCCCGACACAACAGTGACACGCCTTTCTATACCAGTTCCTGACATCTAATATCTTGCTCTCTTTCAGCCCAAATTTAGGTAAAGGCTGAAGAAATTCAAGTTGTTGCTTGTAATAAGTGCTTCAGTTATTCTATCCTATCCCTACAAACATTAAACCCAATAGTCTCTCAAGTACAGTAAAGCAGGGAAGCTTGAGTTGCTCCCAAGAGCCCTATTCCTTCCTTCACTTCACCTCACTTGTAGGTTTTTGCTAATTCAGAAAACTCAAGCTGAATTTTGCTTTTTCTGCCAGTATGATCTCATGCCTCATGATCTTGCCATGACCTCAGACCATCCTCTGTGTTGTACTGT